ACATAAAAATAGAGGCTGGTTCTGTTAGACAGATTGGTTGAGCTTAATCATTTACACCACTCCATGAGCTTCTCGTGTGAGAGCCGAAACATGACCATGAGGCCAGTATGCAAAGCAAAAACCATGTTTTTACGAAACCCAGAGATTGCAAGATGTTGGTCAAAGTATTGTGAACTGTTGTTTAACTAATTTTGCCAAACTGTCCCCTCACCCTGTTTTTTTTAAAGAAAAATCATCTAATTCTTGAAATTTGCTCTTTGGTTTGCGGCTAAAAGCTAAAAATGACTCTAAAAATTACGCTGTGTTAAATATTATCTGCAGTGATTAGCTTGTTAAATTATTTAGTGGAGTATTTTGCAAAGCTGGCGAGAAAACACTGCACGCAGACTGTTTTACCTGTTCTACATGTGGAACCTCGTTAAAGAACATAGGTACGTATGTTTTTTTAATTGATGGGCATACCATTGCGTTCCCGTGATTGCGCTTTTGCAGGTTACAACTTGGTGAACGACAAACTTTACTGTGAGCTACATGCCAAGCAGCAGAGGCAGAACCAATTCCGCCCAACCCCACCGCTTGACCCGGCGGCCGTCATGTGAGTGAAAACCTGCTTGAGAAGGTGCTGTAATACTGTCGTTTTTCTTCCAGTGCTCGAGCAGCGGTTCCCCAGGTGTCTCCGAAGTACCGCGAACCGACTAAGGCAGCGTAAACAAGTCACATGATGACTAACGTCATCATTTGATGGCCAGCTATATTCACACGCGTTTCAGGTATCAGCCAGACATACTGAAGCCGGCCACGTCACCTATTCAACCTATGCACGTCGCGACTCTGAGCCCGTCGTCGCGCGGCATCCCGATCGTCTCTCCAGGCAGCAGATTCACGTCCACCTACTCGAACACAACCACTACGAACATCAGCCCACCGTCACCCTACCGGCAGTTCTCATCGTCAACGACGACTAGGGAATCGGCACAAAAAATAGGTGCAGAGCATCAAGTTATAAGTTTCATTTTATTTTAAAGATTATGCTTGAATTGGGCTTAATCTGAAGACGGTCTGCTCTTTCAACACCAATATGAAATACGAAAATAAGATTGTAGCAGCTCGCTCAGAGGAGGAGGTCTGCTGCGGTGAGGGTGAACTTGAAAGCCTCCCTTTTTCTTACCTCCTGAAGGTTTGAAGTGATGAGGAACTCATCTGACACTGCTGATCTACTAGTGGAACAAATAGAAGAAGTCCACCAATTTACGTATCTCGGCTCAGTCATCTCCAGCGATGGCACCATCCAATCAGAATCAGAATCGCCCTCGCATCCAGTGCTTTTAGTAACTTTAGTAACTGTCAAATATCTGGGCTGAGAAAGGCGTAGTTCTTTCCAGAAAAGTCCTCCTGTAACTTGCGTGCGTCAAGTCTGCGTTGTTGTACGGCATTGATACGAAGGAACAAGAATAGCGGTTGAACAGCATGCATCAATGTTGGCTTCGACGCATAGCGAGGTTAAATGGCAGGATCACAAGTGACTGTGTGATGGGTGACTTCTATAAGCGTCGAGATTAAGAAAATGAGGTCAGCCCTGTTGAACACATCGGTTGAGCAGAAACTACTTACTCTAGACCATTACTTCTCGTATGGGAGCTAAAACATGGCAGACGTTGATCCGGAGGCCAGCATACAATGTGGAGAAACAAGCCAGGGGCAGGTCTGTTTCAGAAAGAAATATTTCCTTCTAGGATGCAATAACTTGGGCCTTATAGCAGAAGTGTTTTAAGACTGTCAGCGCAATGGACATCACAAACATGTTTTGTTTATACATAGGGCTCAAGGTGGTGGTCACACGCTCACACTAACCTCCATGGCATAAAATTATCTGTGAAGATCGTTGGTGCTTATTACCAAGCAGATCTTGTATTTCCCATAACAACCAAAGCAGTTATCGAGATTGGTAACTGTCCTCCTAGGATTGTTTCGAAGGTGAGTGAAGAGTATCATAATTGGAGGAAAATACTATTAAACATATTCCTAGGGCAGAAGCATGTACAAGGACGTGAAGCTGCAAGACCTAATCACGGTTATGCTGCGAGTTACTGCTTCGGATAATTTAAAGCTGAAATTCACAAGGACGTGAAGCTGTTTATTTACACTTGCAGTCCTGTGGCCTTGAGGGGGTATTGTAAAAAGCATCTGCCTGTAATGTGACGGTTAAACCCGTAAGCATGAATGGAAAAGACATTATTTATCTTGAGTTGTTCCCTTCAGAATTGTACCTAGAAATAAAGCGTTATTGTAGTAGTTATAATAACTTGAATCTCAAAGCATTGTTAACCCTCAGATTGACCTGTAAGGTAGAGAAGTTTACTGTTCCACTGAAGAAATTACCTGTGGACATGATGTTTCCTCCGCCAAACATGACTTCTCTCACTCAACCCTTAGACCAGCACCTACTGGCAAATTTCAAGCTCTGCTACATTTACCACACGTTTAAGGAACTGATTGGGGTAATTGAATGGTAATAATCAGCAATCAGAGACTTCTGGAAATCTTTCAACATTGTGAAAGCCATCAGAAATATCCACACAGCTTGGAAGGAGGTGTCCCGTAGTTATGTGAAAGTTTAGGGTTTAAAATATGATAAGAGACTTGTTATAATTCCAACAGTTTATTAGAAAATAGTACTGTGCTTGGCAGTGCGTCGTAGACCTTCCCGTCAACTAGGTATAGTCTGAGTTGATTTTGATAATATTCCGAGAGTATCAGAGAGGAGTCGTTACATGAATGATTTACAAATTGGTAACTAACTCCGATTTTAGGAATGCATCTCTATAAGCACCATTCAAAGTTAAAATCACGTACCCTTGATTCGGTTAACGCTCTCTTTTCCAGGGACATGACCTCTACATTAGACGGTATATGACTGGAATCACTTTTGGCCGAACTAACAAATGTTTTTGGCATGAAAGGAAGACAGATAGTTCCTTTACAGCGTTGACTTAAGTTTGTGTGATTTGTTATTTCCTCCATGAGTTCATTATTTTGGCTTTAAACTACAGCGGATTGGAGTTTGGTTGCACTAACACTTCCATAGCCACTGATATTAACATTCAACCGGCTATGCTGCAACCCCCTCCCCTGCTCAAGTTTGTAAATATCTGAAAATGGGGAGGTTTAGATAGACTAAGGCTCTATGGTATTTCAGTACCTGCGCTATGACACTGCGGAACAGCGCCATAGTGTTTGTTAACAGCATATATTCCTGGTAGCAATGGAACGTTATGAGTCGAATTGCGAACCATCAATTTAACTTTTTATACTTCAGGAGGTACGGAGACTGTAATCAGCGCGCAGAATGTCAGTGGATTTGTTACGCGACGAGGTCGAGGCATTCTTCATGAATTCCAGGAAGGAGTTCGAATACCGATTTGTGAGTCGTGCAATCAAGAAATACGGTAGGTTCTAGGGAACAACGTAATTCTCAGCTGCATATTGCTGATGATCCGTTGATTTCAGTGGTCCGTTCGTACTGGCTTTGAACAAAGCGTGGTGTCCGGATCATTTCGTATGCAGCAGGGCGGATTGTCGTCGAAAACTGCTCGACATAGGCTTCGTCGAGGAACACGGACGAATCTACTGCGAAATCTGTTTCGAGAAGTATTTGGCACCCGTTTGCTCGAAGTGCCATTCGCCGATTAAAGGAGTGAGAAAGACACCTTGCAATTCGTTGCCAGCGTTCAGTTTTCGACTTGTTACAGGACTGTTTGACCGCGCTGGGACAAAAGTGGCATCCGAACTGTTTCTGCTGCACTACATGCAAACGATCTTTCGGAAATTCCTCGTTTTACGTCGAAGACGGGCTGCCCTACTGTGAAGAAGGTATGATTTGACAACAGAAAGGAGCCCTTCTTCTGTCATTTCTGCTTATTTGCACAGCATATGTGCACCGTCCCCTTGTTTCTGACGCCTCCATGAATTTTAGCATCTGCAGTGCATGGACGCAAAACAACACCACTTTGTTTTGTCGAACAATAATATGTATCAACACCAAGGAGTATGCCTTTATCCGTAAGCTTATGTAAAACCTGAATTGCTATTGATAAAGTTTCTCGAGACAAAGTTAACAGCCACATCTGAACCTGAAGTTCTGTTCAGCGTTACTCTTACTTATCATTTATTTTATAATGCGATGGGTTATACTGTAAGTTAAAATATCGTACGACTAGAATTAAAATTTTTCAAAACTTATGTTTTAATGAAGTGATGTACAGGAATAAGTTAAAGGCATGAAAAATATTCACTTATGTGAAAAATGGGAAAGAAAAACGAAGGAAAAATGTATATCAACATGTAAAGTTGAATATTTAAAGCTAAATTAACTTTCACGAGATTGCTACTCGACGAAAAGTTCTATCAATTTGTTTTAGCATTGACGCACTATGTTACAAGCATTCATCATGCGAGAGTTGAATTGGAGGAGCGCCCTAGCCTCGAGTACTTTTGAAAAGTACCCACTTTACCCACTGAGAAATGATTAATGAGTTCTGGCTGAGAAACGAATAATTTTCCGCAAAGGTCCACCTGTAGCTTGCTTCTTTTAAGTCGGTGATGTTGTACGGCACGGAGACAACTGTCCAACGAAAGAGCCAGAACAACGGTTGATGTAGCAGCGTTGACTTCAGCACATAATGAAGGTTAAATGGCAAGCTACGTAAGCTGAACACAGTTAGACTCAATGAATATGGAGACTACGTAAATGAGGTTGGTCGTATTAGACAAATTGCTTGACAATTAACTATTTACTTTCTCTCTCTCATTAGTTTCTTGTATTGAAGTCGAAATATGTTCGACGTCACCCGGCGGTTAGCATGCAACGTGGAGTATAAAAGTTGAAGAGGATCTGCTATTAGAGAGAAACAGTTCCTTTAGCGATAGTGTAACCAGTGGCTTATGGCAAAAGTGTTGAAAATCTGTGACGTCACACACCAATGACATTTTGAATATCCAAGCTGCTCAAGGTAATCTCAACCAGCACAATTCGTGATGGTATTGCCAGAGTTTAACATCCTCATTTTGCTGCTACTGGGCCTCGATGGGTTCTCACTTGCATGTTTCGCATCCCTTCACTGTTCTTATCCAAAGTTCGAAAGCAGTTGTGTGTTCCTTTGGGCGAGTTTTAACTGGTTATTTCGTTATTTCATTAATAATCTGATATAATATAAATTTTATCTTCACGTAGCTGTTCACAAGGTTTATTTTGATTACGTACAATTGAAAGTATTTCCACATTCTAAATATAAAATAGTGATTGAGGTACCATACATACCGCATGTTTAATAAAATGAGTTACCGAACTTTCTGCCTTTCTGATTCTGGACACTTCTTGTTTAGACTGGAATGCCCAATTTACGACGAAGTGCTACTCGTGCCAGTTCCCTATCGAAGTCGGCGACCGATGGGTCGAAGCCATGGGAAACGCCTATCATTTGGACTGCTTCAAGTGCACGGTAGTATCTTCGACTCTCTACTTTATAATTTAATCAGCACTTGCATTTTTCTAGGTTTGTTATAAGAGCTTGGAAGGACAAAGTTTCTATTCGAAAAACGGTAGACCCTACTGCAAAGCTCATATATAGTTCTTAGGACCTGGAACTATTAGTGTATTCGTAATTCTTTTATTTAGCAGCCACTAATTAATTAAATATTTCCTTAGTAAACCTTGGTCGTGTGATCTATGGAATTACAGTCGTGCGTTTTTGAAAAAGCGATTTGCCTAAAACTTATACATAGTTATTAATTCTTGCTCAACGAAAACTGTTCGTTTGCTTGCATTCTGTTATTTGAAAGTCCAGTCTGATTAGCGTAGTAAATTTTTTACTGTAATATTATACTTGAATATTGAAATAATCGATTGACAATTTTGATTTGACATTGAACCTGCAGTAAAACGGTTTAATACCTAGCAACTCACAAAACGGTCTGCCAGTGGAGCAGAACATTCCTTCAATCTTCCCCTGCTGTCCTACAATATCGCCATATAAAAGTGGCTGTGCACCTGGCGAAAAATATGAACATTTTTGTTCATTTGTGCAATTTTCCGTCCACTGCACAAAGTTAAGTCAAAAGGGGCGGGCTGGCTGCTTGATGCTCTGTCTATTTTGGAGAGGGCCAGTTGGCTGTCATTCTGACAGCTTCAGTCAAATTCTGGCGATGTCCATCCTAAACTGGTTAAAGTTCACGTCATTCACTTTTCTAGTAATTGTGTGCAGTGATCAAAATACAGCGGCTGCCTTTGGTCTGTTACACATGCATAACGAAAATATTCTCATAAATTTTTACCGGTTCATTCTCGATAGATTCTACGAAATCTACTTGATGGGTTCTGTGCATGTTCTTTAAAAACCGAAGACAATGTTCAGAATTTAGTGTTTCTGACAGCAAATGCTTTATCCAGCATCCTTTATCAGCAGTGTCGTATGACACACCGTGGCCGATGACCGTGTGTTTATTAAAAATAACGTCCTTACAACAACTGATCACCCTATTACAAAAAATTCAAATAAAACTGGATGATCGGAGCAAACCAATAATCATATATTTACTTTACATTTCATAAGCTCAGTAAGGGTTCTTTATCTGATTTCGTCATAGATATCTTACCTGGAGTATGCTGATGATGGTGATCTGATGAGTCGTACGACGATCCGGCTTTGTTATCTGACGGTTTTCGTTTGCTGCTTGAAGCTGCAAAAGTCGGCACCTCTTAACGCCTTAAGGTCCAAAGTTACGTGGAGCCCATCAGATACGGTTGATCTAAAAATGAAACAGACGAAAAGCCGTAGAAGAAGTCGTTTAGTTTAAGTTTAAGCATGTCGCATCAATCATCTCAGGCGATGGTACTATTTAACTAGAATTAAATAGAAGCGTTTCCCCCATATCCAGTGTCCTTGGTAACGTGTTGAATACATGGGCTGAAAAAGGGGCGTCGCTTCCCACAAAATTGCGCGTGTGTCTTGCTTCCGCCAGGTGGCAGCTGTTGCGTTGCCAAAGCAGCTGCTTTAATGAAGGGCCAATTACAACCGTTGAACTGCGTAGAGCAGGGTGTTTGCTAAGACACGTAATGAGGGTTAAATGACTGGACCGAGTGCGGAATAACTCTGTTCTTTTCCGGGCACAGGTGACCTCAGCAGATGTGGAAATAAGGAAAGTAGGTTAACGCTGTCAGACAAACTCGATGAGAAGAAATTATTTACTCAATCTTGTGTGGGAGCCGAAATACGGCAGACGTCTGCCGGGAGACCAGCATGCAACCTGGAGAAACAAGGCAGAGGAATATCTGCTTTCATCGAGGAAGATTTGTTCTGCGATGCAGTAGCTGGTGCCTTTTAGCAAAGGTATTGAAAAGCTGCGGATACGGAGCAAATCACAAACCAGAGACGTTCTGCTCATGCAAACATTTCAAAATGATAATTACACTCACTCACAGATACTTCCACATCAAGGTAACGCGAGGACAAGCAGTTGCGATCGTTGCAGTGTGCTTCGGGGCGTCAGATTGATTCCTGGCTTGGACACACTTCCAATGGTTTGCGGGATCGCGTTGATCGATTGCTTCGAATTTAAGTTGATCTTTTTTGCGATGTACCTTATTGAGGCCATGGATGTAACTGCGTTGGATCTACCTGTGTCGGTTGGAATCAATATGACGTATCAATATTTTCTTAAGTACCATTAATATTCCGCTGCTCTGTTGCCTGCAACTGAGAGCTATTAAAGTTTAATGACGAATATGCGTCAAGAATTCATGCGGCCATAGCAACAACATCCCGTGATATCCGCTTCCGAAGTAAGACTATGATCTGAGACTGCAAATAAATTTATGAAAATTTTATGTTCTATAAAGTTTCATAAATTCGGCTCGTTGAATTCGAAACGTCTTTAATCAAGTCCTAAAAAATGGTTTGGAAATGAGAAATTTTTTTAACCTCCAGGAACAGTCATCACCAGGTGACAGTGTAACTTTGATGCGCGAGTCAAGTCATCATTTAGCTGAGAAAACGGCGACACAAAGTGCAAGTTGGCTGAATTCCAGTTCCAAGCGAGTCAGCTGCCGTTATGCAGAAGAAAGCAAAGAACTTGAAACTCTTGCCACCTCTTTCCAGACAGCGCATAGGCAGGGAGCCGACCAATCATTTAAATCAGTCAATGTCAAACAACGGTCAGCTGACAAATATTCCGCCTTCACTCGGTCGCTTTCTCCCTCTGCACGTCACCGTGCAACCGCATCGATCGGCGATGCACATTGAATAAGAGAGCATTGCGTTTGTCGTTGTCGGTTCTAGAGGTCCAATCGCTTACTGAAAGACCTAAGTTTGCAATTCTACCGTCGGACACCCAGGATTCAACGTGTTTCAAAGAAAGCCGATAGGAAGAAAATCTTTAGAGGTTCTTCGAACAGCGAAAAGGAGCGGAAGACAATTTTTTGCGAGCCTCGGAATCTGCAATTCAAAACTCTGATGTCCACAGACGCGGCTGTTCCGGAAAAACTGGATTCACTGGCAATGGCGAACGCGAAATCGGCAAAACAGACGACGTTTGAAAAATGGATATCTACCTATGGTAAATTTGCTTCTATGAACATTCCTTCTAAGTGCAGTATAAAGAATTCCTTCTTGTATGAATGCAGGGACAAGAAAGAATTGATTTTTGCGTGATTAGAGGAAGATCGATATCAATCACAAATCTTTTCCGATCGTTTCAAATGACCATTTTCAAACAATTTAATCGGAACAGATTGGAGAATAAAATCTTGTCGAATTCATAGATTCTGCTACATCGTTTCATGTTTTTTTCTAATTTATTTTCGGTCGTGTTTAATCTACCTGGCTAAAACACACTTTGATTTTGTTCATATCCGAATAGCGCTATAGGAATCACTGTCGATCGGTTTCAGGACATGTCAGTTATACAAGGTCGTCTCCGAACAGCAACCGCCTCGTCTCGACATATACACCGATAAACTTGGATGCGTCTGACTATTCTATCCATGCACAACACAAACAGGATAGGGGACAGGACGCAGCCTTGGCGGAGATCAGTGCGAACGTTGAAAATTCTCGATTTGACCCCATTTGCTCTGACGCAGCAGTAGCACCTGTTATCAACATTTAGTGATTGGATGGCCTGTTGGAACTGGCCATCGATGTCATATGTTCGCAAGCATGCCCACAGATTGTCGCGCGGGTCCCGATCATAGGCCTTCTCTAAGTTAACAAAACACATTTACACCGGATGAGCGAACTCCTGCGGTTTCTCAACAATCTGGCGTAGGGAAAATATATGGATAGAGGTTCTTCGACCGACCCCGAAGCCAAACTGTTCTTCTTGCATCTTGGAATTAGCTATTACGCAGTACCTTTCTAGTACCTTTGCGTTGATTTTTCCTGGCAGGCTTAATAAGGTAATGCCCCGACAATTGGAGCACTCCCTGTGGTTTTCATTCTCCCGTCCGCTGTGTCTTCTCGTAGCCATGGCAGACACGTATAGGCCGATGTGTGCTTTGGTGGGTTGTTCTTTGAACATTTCAATGTGGATTTCATCAATTCCAGCAGCCTTTGCGCTTTTCAAGCTTTCCGCAGCTTGTGTGATTTCGTCTACAGAAATAGCAAAATCCGTTCCCTGCTGCTGTGCAGGTGAGACATTCTGCGATTGCTCGGGATGAAAGGTTCGTCAGTGTATTCTCTCTGTCGCCGAAGAATGTCCTCATCTCTGATAATAGGGCTTCCTGACCTGTCCTTCAAGACCCTTTGACTGTCCTCTTTCATTTTGGAGCCTGCGGACAGTCCACTAAAATACTTTGCTTGTCGTCTGGAAATACTACTCCAACACTTTAAAGAATGTCGCCACTGTTTTTGTTGCCACTATCCGTGCTTGTGACTATCGCATGCGAGTTGAAGACTCTTAGCTTCCAAGCCATTTCTTGGATGCAGCCTTCATCTCATTACCTGACAGTTGTACCCAGCGTGTTCGTGAGGAATTTCCCTTCTGGTCTCTGGGCAGCAGGCCAACACGTTTCACTTCGCAGCTTTCGGTGGCAACCTCGAGTACTCCGCTCTTTAAGTGCTCCCGTTCGGTTTCCACATGCAGTAATCACCTGTATCTGTTCAAACCGTCGGGCGATATTGCTTTTAAGTTTGGCTCCCGCATCAGTTGAAGATAATTTTTCCCATTTAACCTTATGGTTGTTCTTGCCGCCAGATCTTCGTACTGTACTCCATTTCTCACAGCGCAGCGTGCCAACAACAAGGTGATGATCGGTTGATAGCTCTGCGCCTCTTTTCACACGAACATCCATTACTGAGCATCTTAAGTCAGACGATACGATTATCAAATCGATCGTCGATTTCTGTGCGCAAGCTTCCCTGTACCAGCTGTACTAATGCACTCTCCGATGCTGGAAGAAACTCTTCTTAAAAGGCAGTTTTTTGCGCAAAACCGCAATAATCTCATGCCATTTTCGTTGAAGTCGCTAGGGCTGTTCCTTCTAATCATGCTTTCCACTTTGAAGTATAGGTTCCAACATGCAGCATAAAATCGCCCATTCGAATGAGTCGCCACTTCGTACTGAACACATTCC